TGAAACTACCAACTGCTCACCAAACACATAAATTTTTCTCTTTGATATTTCCTTCTAATACTAAAAAGAAAATATCTTTATAATGAGCTTTCACTTTTTATAGAGCTAAAATTATTAAAGAAATTTCACTAGTCTTCAAAAATACTAAAAGTTATATAAATACCATTTTCTTAAAGATGAATTCTTCAGCTAGAGTCTGTATAAAAAAGTTTACTTTGGATTGTGTCATTTAGCACTTCACGTTTCCACTCTGCAACTTTGACAACTGTCACAGATTTGTAGGATTATTATCAATCACATCTTTAGAATGTGCTACTGTGTGTTTACCTGTGTACAATAAAATAAATGCAAGAAACGGTTCCAAATTTCAAAAGCAACATAATAATGAAATATTCAATATGAAACAAAAAAGTTGCAACAGGGATTCCCTTTACACCATTGCATTTGTGAAATATAATCCTTTTTATGCTTTAAAAACTAATGTCTGAACTTTCATTTTTATCAAGATGAAGTATTTAAATGGCCCACATTTATTTTTCAATTTAAAAAAACTAAACAATAAACTGAATTACTTTTATTAATATACACATCAAGGTACTGAATGGTGACTTTATGTAGTTTTTCCCCTTAAAGATGGCACTTGCAGGTACAAAGATGTAGAGATGTCCACAGCCTTCAGATGTTGACTTGAAAAGATTCTTCAACAGCAGTTTGATACTGGGTTTCCTCATCTAGCTGAAGATTCACAAATTCTCCATAATCAAACTGATGTCTTTGATTTAGATGACTAACAAAATTTCTAGTAATCTGGCTAGGATCTCTCCATGGAAGAGACATACAAATAGGACATGTCACAGGAACTATCTGAAATATATGATTACTGTTACAGTGATCCAGTAAACGCTGTCTGGTAAAATTGGATTTTTGACACAATGGACACTTAAAATTGGGATGCCCAGAAGAACTTGTATTCTCTTGGTAAATTTCTGTGTTATCAGATGTGGATGTTTCACTCCTATTACTGTTCCCTACTGAATCTTGAGAGATCTGAAAGTTTGGAATGATAGAAGAAATACCATATTCATCTTGATATTTCTTACAAGATTTGTAATGATGTCTCATGCGATAGAATTTAATCTGTTTTGCACAGCATCTGCAGCTACCAGAAAACTTCCTCATATTTTCAAGATCTAAAGCCCGTTCAGGGCAAGCTCTCTCTCTTCTAGTTACATTTCCACGACAGAGGGGACAATGTATTCCACTTTCTCTCATTGCAGTCAGGAAACATTTTCTACAGAAAACGTGCTGACAGGCCGCGGTCCATACAGGCGTTTTGAGCGCCTCTTGACAGACGGGGCAGTAGAAATCGTCTTCGGTGTAGGACGTGGCCGCAGAGAGGTCCTCGGCCATGGCTGTGGGCGGGGATCAGGCCGATGGCGGCTGCGGCCGAGGTGACTGTGGCGGCCGGGGGCCCGATTCCCTGCGCTAACCAAGAGAACGTAAATGATTTACCAATGAAGATCAAAGACTTCAGTATGGGTTACACCTCAATGTAAAGAAAACAACAACAAAAGAACAAAAATCCTCACCACTGGAACAATAAATACCATCGTGATACGTGGAGAGAATACTGAAGTTGTCAAAAACTTAATTTTGCTCATATCCATTATCAACACTCATGGAAGCAGCAGTCAAGAGATCAAATGACATATTGCATTAGGCACATCTACTGCTGACCTCTTTAAAATATTCAGTAGCAAAGATGTCAGTTTGAGGACTAAGGTGTGCCTGACCAAACCATGGTATTTTCAATAGTCTCATATGCATGTGAAAGTTGGACAATAAATAGGTAGACCTTAGGAGAATTGATGTTTCTCTTACTTCAGACATATTATCAGGAGGAACTAGTCCCTGAAGAAGGACATCATGCTTAGTAAAGTGGAGGATCAGAGAAGGAGAGGAAGACCCCCATCATATGTACTGGCACAGTGGCAGCAGCAATGGGCTCAAGCGTAGCAATGATTGTGAGGATTGTACAGGACTTGGTAGTATTTTGTTCTGTTGTGCAGAGAGAGGGTCCCTATAAGTAGGGAATGATTAGATGATTGATACCAAGATGTATGGAGATCTTTCAATGAATACTGGATTTCAAGGAGTGCAGATGCTGAAAGGAAGCAAGTACTTTTACACAGAACCAATAAGGAGAAAGCCTTCCCCCAAGAATCGGCACTCTGAATTTGGACTTCTGTCTTCTAAACTGTGACAGAATAAATTTCTGGTTGTTAAAGCTGCCCACTTGTGGTATTTCTGTTATAGCAGTATCAGATAACTACGACAGTGCCTAAGATATGTCTTTTGTAGATAGGCTATTAATTGGGCATGTTTTCTTGTCCCTTCTGCTACTTTTTGTCTCTTTAGTGATGCTTTGAATCCATTTATATTCAGTGTAATTATCGATGGTGGTGGTGGCGGTGTGCTGTGGAGTCAGTTCCAACTCATAGCAACCCTGCATAGTGTTTCTGAGGCTGTACATCTATACGGGAGCAGAAAGCCTCGTCTTTCTCAACTACCAACTACCAGCAGAATGGCTGGTAGTTTCGAACTGCTGACCTTGAGGTTAGCAGCCCGACTCGTAACCACTATGCTACCAAGCTCCTTATAATTATCGATAGGTATGAATTTACTAAGGAGCCTTCCTGGCACAGTGGATTAAGTGTTGGCTGTTCACTGCAATGTTTGTTGCTCAAATCCACCAGTCATTCTGTGGGAGAAAGATGAGGCTGTTGGCTCCCATCAAGTTCTTGAAATCCTCTGGAACAGTTCTACTCTGTCACTTTGAGTTGGAACTAACTCAACAGCCGTGGGTATGAATTACTCTTGTCATTTTGCTGTTTGCGTGTTTTGGGGTGCATGTTTGTGTGTGTGTGTATGATGCTAATGATTGTTAGGTCTGTGTCGGAAGACCTCATTCTAGCATTTTTGTAAGATTCATTGGTTGTTAAAAATTCCCTTAGTTTCTGTTTATCTGAACATATACTATTTTCAGCATCAAATTTTGCTAGAGATATAATTTTTGATTTGCAATTTTTTCTTTTAGAGTTTTAGATATGTCATTCATTGACTTGTTGCCTGCATGTCTTCCGCCAAGAAATCAGTCTTATTGGTTCTCCCTCTAGGTGACTTTTCATGTTTCCAAACTACAGTCAGGATTCTTTCTTCTTCTTTGGCTTTAGAAAGTTTTATTATGAGCTGCCTTGGTGGTTCTCTTTTGGGATCTACCCTATTTGACTTTCAATGTGTTTCTTGAATTCTTATCATCTCATCTCTAATGACTTTAGGGAAATTTTCTTCTATCAAATCTTTTACAGCTCTCTCAGTACTTTATTTTGTCTCTTTCTGTTCTGGAACTCCAATTACATGTAAATTATTTCTCTTGATGATGTACTTCATAATTCTTATATTTTCTTCAGTTTTTTTTTTTCTGATTGTTCCCCTAACAGATTAATATTAAGAAATTTGTTTACAATTTCACCAATTCTGTCTTCCATTTATTCAATTCTACTCCTTTGATCTTCCAATGCTTTATCAATTTCTGAAATCTTTTGAATTTCTATTTGCTATTTTTGCTTGATTTCTAATTTTCTATTTATTTGTATCAGTTTGTTTTCCTGGTTTCTTCTAGAGTATTGGCTGTGTTTTTCTTGATTTTGTCTGTGATTTCCTTGATCATTTGATTTCTCTATCAAGTAGTCCTGATAGCATTTTCTCCTCTGAAAGACTTTCTAGCCCTGTATTTTGGTCATTTGTTTGGGCCATCTTACATTGTTTTTTGTGTGTGTAATCTGAAGTTATCTGTTGTCTTTGACACATTGTAGTGTTATTCTATTAACTTGTTGAAGCGTTTTGGTTGGCTTCTCTCTGTTGGTTTTGTTTGTTTAACGTATCTGTGCAACAGGTGAACAGGTGGATGTACTACTCTGGATGCCAGTTTGGCAGCATTGGAACACTCACCACCTGTCTCTAGTTGAATTTGATAGTGGTTGGTGTGTGTGTGTGTGTGTGTGTGTGTGTGTGTGTGTGTGTGTGAGACTCTAATCGCTGCCCATCTAGAGCAGCTGAGGGCAGGTTTGGAGGGTGTTGGCTGCCATCTGTCATCAACACATTGGTGCTGGAACAGGTGGTGGCACTTGATCAGTAGATTGGGCTGAGTAGGATTACTGGCTCCTGACTGGTAAAGAAATGAAAAAATGGGGGTGGAGAAGAACTAAGTAGAAAGAAAACAAGAGAGGGAAAAGTGGTAAGATACTGGAGAGAGCATTCACTTCTAAACATGCTATAGTGGTAATGTGAGAATGCAGGGCTCACTCATGAGAGCATACACCAATGACCATGGAAGGCTGAAGCAGGCATTGTGAACCACAGGGGTTACAGGGAACAGGTGCTCGCTCTTAGGATAAAATTTTTAAATAGGGAGGGGGTGAAATGAAGAAAAAAGAAAAGGAAAAATCCAGGGAGAGCAGGGAAGGACTGCGACGAAAGAAAAAAAGAAAAATAAAAGAACAGCACAGTTCTGGCACTTACTGGTAATGATTCAGGGTTAGCTGAGCAGAGCTACTTACTTATCTGTTTCCAATGGTAGCGTAGTGATTACGAATCAGGCTGCGAACCTTAAGGTCAGCAGTTTGAAACTACCAGCCACTCCGTGGGAGAAAGATGAGGCTTTCTGCTCCCGGAAAGATTTACAGCCTCGGAAACCCTGTATAGGGTCACTATAGGTCGGAACCGACTAGACGGCACTTAACAACAACATCCTGATTGGAACCATGTGTGCAGTAATTCAAAATGACCACACTGTGCTGGGCCTATTGGAAATTCACTACTTTGTACTTGTATGCCTCCTTTCTCACTGTTTTCATTCAGCCCCTTTTTCTAATCAGTATTTGATCAATTTATCCTTTCCTTTGAATCTCTGGATTCCCAAATTGTTACCCATATCTGTTTCACTTGGTTTCTCAAGTCATTATTGTAGAGGGTCTAGATAACATATCTGCCTAAACGGCAATTTTGATCACACCAATTTTATCCAAATTTGTGTTTCAGGATTCCACTACACATTATATTTCATCATGTCTTCTTAAATTCCTTATGATAACAGTTTCTGAGTTTCCTTGCTTTTTATTACCTTAACAATTTAGAGTACTGATCAGGTGTTTTAGAGAAGATTCCTCAATTCATTTTTTCCCCTTTGGTTCAACTGAGGTTAGAGATTAGTGAGAGAAAGACTACTCCAGTAAAGAGCTGTACATCATGCATCAATATGATAGATATTATCAACATGTCTTATCACTATTGATGTTTGTCTAAATCACCTATGAGTTATTCACCTAGAAGGTGGTATTTGGCTGCCTTATCCACTGTGGAGTTCTTCTTTATTTGGAAGGAAGCCACTATGCAGACATAAAGTGTGAAGAGTTATGCTCTACCTCCAAGAGCTCAGAGGATCCACATAATTTATGTGGAAACATTCTAACTAGAAGATATGCCTCTTCCCCATTTATTTATTTATTGAATCATTTCTTTACATGTATATGGACTCTTGGATATTTATTTCATATTTGAATTATAATACAATACTGTTATTGTTGTTGTTATGTGCTCTTGAGTTGGTTCCAACTCACTACAATATTGTACATGATTCCTGATGAGTATAGCTGGTGGGTTCGAACCACTGACCTCACAGTTAGAAATCCTGTGCTTATCTTACAGCATCATACCATATTTTGAGGGATAGCTCAAATCATTCTACCATTGGTTTTTGGGAGTTTTTCATTTGCTTCTACATCACTTTAACATACCCCCATCAATATAGGTTTGGGTCTTTTGTTTTGCTTTGTTTTTGTTTTGCTGTGTGTGTGTGTGTGTGTGTGTGTGTGTGTGTGTGTGTGTGTGTACTTTCTTCCTATAATATGCACTACAATATGCTCCGTATTCATTCTGTATATTTCTTGCCCTGGTCATAGAATCAGTCATTCTTCAATGAATCCTGGTTCCATTTACTGGAGAATGGCATTAGAAATCAAAATCTGGGTAATAAATGTGCTAATTATGAGTAATAAATGGTAATAAATTAAGTGTGCTAAATTCTACTGATATATTATTTCTAGGCCATCTCAACGGACAGAGCAAAGAAATATCTGTATGTGTAATATATGAGTGGAGTCCTGGTGTGGCGCTGTGGGGTAGTGCACTGGACCACAAGGTCAGTTTGAACCACTAGGTTGCTGGAGAAAGATGAGGCTTTTTGCTCCTATAAAGGTTTACAGCCTCAGAAACCCTATACAGGGTCATTATGAGCCAGAATACTTACTGATGACAATCAAAGGCCACAGCTTTTGGTATGGGTTGCACCTCAAAGTAAAGAAAACAAAAATCCTCACAATTGAACCAAAAATAACATCATGATAAATGGAGAAAAG